TGGTAGCTCGGCGGGGATACGCCCACCGAAGGGAGGTGACAGCTCCCGTAAGGTGTAGGTAAGTCGTGCCTCGCGTAGGCCCTATCCTGTCGTAGGGGCTCGCGAGAGGTATGGCTGGCGCATCCGGCCGAAGCGGCTTATGGAAGCTCCATGTATATTTGCGACGAAGGATTGTAAAAACCAACTCCTGCGTGACGCGGCCGGGAGGGTCCCGCGCTGCGCCCGTGCGGTGCCGGACCGATTGCGCCCGACAGCGCCAGTGGTGTAGGAGGGCACATCGATATTCGTGGTTTGCCGCAGGTCAAGCTGTCTACTGCTGTGGAACAGGTTGACGAAGGATGTGAAGGTGGGCAAAGTGTCACCACAACACTCACAACTGTCACAGTGACAGATAATAAATGGTGTGATGGCAGTGGCGCAAGTGTCTTCCCCGTTGGCGAGAAGGGCAATATTGGTAGCCCACAAGGCCATATGTGGATGTCTATGGATATTTTGCCATATGGGTYGGGAARCCAAGGGCGRCTCAGGGCATCWTTGGATGAAACCATGYATCTGGCRRAAATGGAACAGCAACTCGAGGCTCACACTCCACTTGATGAAGAGACACTCATAGGCGACTTAGAGATTCCTGCAGAATTTCAAAGTCCGATATCAGAGGAGAAGGCACAACGAGGGTCTCAGGAGGCGGGTACTGTAACAGGCTACCATGAGGAAGCTATGCTTGCGGAGGAGATGGAACCGGGCGGCGAACCTAACAGTCCATTTGATGAAGACATCCCTGGCAGCGACTTCGATACTGGTACTTGAGGGTCTTAGGATTCGTCTATTGTATTCGATACTGCTGGGAAGAACGACACTCTTGAGGGGCTTGTGGCAAAAGAAGTAATTCAAGTGTCGGACATCGAAGAGGATGAAGGACATATTGTACTGACTACTCCAGAGCAAAAGACACCTGTGGAGGAAGGACGAGAAAGTACACTTCGAACTCTTGTGCAACAGTTCAGCCCATCTGTCAAAGTGATAAACATCGAAGAATCCCCTTTCACATCAAGACAGTTCGGGGATGCAAAAGAAGACGGTGCTCAAGGGAAAACCACAGTTAGTCGCCGAGGTGAGCACTTACCTTACGAAGTTAATATATGTGTAATATTGTACCTAGAACGAAAGATGATTTTCCGGTTTTGCATGCTGCTGTGCATTGGAGCTGTTCCATGTTTATTTGCATATATGTAGTGTGCCTTATAGTGCGTCCGAATCGGTAAATGAAGCACACAATCGACTTTTAATAGTTTGACTCACAATACTTTACTGCTATTAATATTCATTTACATTCATGTTGTTTTAGTGGATTTGTAATGATATCAAAATAATCGTTACTTATATTACTCGTTACTATCGGTGATGATTGTGCTCTCTACATTGATGAACGTGCAGGCCTGCGTAAAGGACCGTGGAAAGCCCCTCGCGTGCACTCGCAAAGGAACAGTGATAAGAAAATTATACGTCGTGGTTTGCAAGCCTTGTCAATGTTGCCGTTGTTACCCAAAACAGTTAGAAGATGAGCGCAACCTGTGACGATCCCGTTTGTGAGGCCAGCTGCTCTAAGGATGTTTAAAGTTGTGGGAATAGGGACGAAACAAGGGAAGAAATTGCACGGTGAAGTTTGCACTGTATCTGTTGTGGAAAGCGGCAGCGACAACGAAGTTGGCAAACAAGCACCGTCATGAACTTCGTGTCCGCTTCTTATATTTAATTTCAGAAAGGCATTACTTGTATGGAAGTCTTAGACATACCGTTGTTGTTTACCTGTGTGTTTGTATACAGTGCCTGACCAGTCATTCAAGATTCCTCTAGCAACGCAACCCCTCACTGAGGTCGAGATGCAGTATGTTGAAAGGGTTGTGAGGACCAGTGAAGAAAACGAAGAATACAGCATTGTTGTTTACAAGGGTGACTGAAAGGTGGAAAAGAAAGACATTATGCTGATCATTGAAGCAGGAGGATGGTTGAATGACGAAGCCATGAATTTGTATCTGTTGGCAATCCAGATCGACAATGATAATGCCAGAGAGAATTTGATGTCTAGAGGACAGATTAAAGACGAAAGTCTGCAGGACATTCCATCTGTGTATATTCTAGATTCGTTTTTCTATGTTAGGATGGCATCCGCGACGCCAGAGAAATTGCTTGCTGTGAGGGAATGAAGTGGGTTAGGGGAAGAAATATTTTTGATTATAACTTTGTACTTATCCCTTTGAACTTTGGAGACCACTGGGCTTTGGCATGTGTTAGAATAAACAGTTGCAAGTGTGAATTCCAGCTATTAGACTCTCTCCCTCGCGGCGACCGCCTCGCAGCGCTGGAAGTAGTAGCCGCATTTTTTAAAATGAAGTTCAGACGTCAGAATCTTCATGAAAGATATCAGGTCGACGAGCTTGTGACACCTTTCGAGACATCACTTTATGGGGTGCCTGTCCAACATGACGGTTGCAGTTGTGGTGTTTTTATGTTAGGTTTTGCATCTTTGTTAGCGAAAGGTCACTTTCCACCATTCGATTTCTCGCAAGAGAACATCATGTATATGAGGCAGAGAATAGCATTTGACATTTTGTCGATGGTCGAGCATGAGTGAACATTCCAAATATGCAGAGAAATCGACACTTTGTTGGCTGATCTTCCTCTCGCCAGCTCGTCTTACTAACGTGAGAACTGACATGTGTCTACTCCGATACTAACCTCACGCCCTGCACTGGTTCCCGGTCGGAGTGTTTTGATTTGTGGATGAGCCTCGGGAGGTCAGCGAAGATGGGGTATGCCAAGGATTTTTGGAAAAATTGAGTGTGGGGACACAGACAGAACTGAAATCCACCATGTTGGTCCGATTTTAGCAAGAAGGAGGTCTGTCGCCGCGCGGGTTTAAGGCAGAAAAAGGCGCACGCGGAACTCGTGCCTATGGGAAATTCAATAAAAAAACTATCGTTGAACTTTCCAGCGAGTCGTCGCTCTTCGTTTCACGTGAAAAGGGACAGGTACACACGTGGTATCCCGTTTACGGATGAGGTATCGTCGACGCTCGGTACATAACTCAAAATCCGACGTGGAGGGTTTTAATCGAGCGGCCCTCTCCTTGTGCTCGTCCTCGCCACGTGTGCAGTAGTGAAAACCTTTACGGCCCGGTAACGCTCGAAGCGGCGACAATCGTTGCACAGAGTGTTAGGCCAATGAGGCGCAACTGCCGTCCACGGGACAACGATCAACTCGTTAAATGGCAACAACAACGAGTAGGGAGGAAAGTGCGTATTAATAATAACAAGACCTGCATTGACGAATCCCGAACACTGAGTTTCGGGAGGAAAGTAGAAGCGCCTGTCAATCTTAGCGACCGCTTCTCGTACGTCCCACTCACATACACGTATCCTTTCCTCGTTGTACGGGAAGGGGCGCGACGGGGGTACGAGAAGTTGGCGCCCGGTCGGGTTGGGGCTGTCAGTCCACGTGGCAACAAAACAAAAGTCCTTCCTAATCATACATCATTCACTCGACACTTTAAGTAGCCAGATCATCCATACGATCAGCCAATCATCATCTCAACCATCTTATAACAAACTCCCTAATACAACCCACTGCATGCACACATCAAAGCGAGAGAAGCAAAGTTACTGTAATCTATCCATTATAACAAAACATAACAGAAGAAGAGAGTGAGGAAGAATAAACACAGATCAGAGGGGAGGAAGAGTAGAGAGCAATCATAGAATGGGTGACGATCTTGTCAAGGGAAATTCTGGCTCAGAAGCTAAGTGATAGAACTCACGCTCAAAGGACAAAAAAGGAGGAGGCGCTTCCACCATAAGATTCCACCATGACCCCTGACCATGCATTCACTCAACCCTCGATTCGAACCTCTCATAAGCACTGACGATCCCGACCGTCACGTGCTAATCCACCGTAGCGATAGTCACCCCGCCAACTTAGTCTCTGTACAGTCTGGCCCAGATCCCACAATCCGGCGGACGATCCAGCGCACAGCCGACAAGACTAAAGTTAGCCCATCAGGATTCTTCGACTCACCCTTCACACACACACTCTAGCCAGGAAGCTGGCAGATGAGTTGAGAGAGAGATTTTCGGGAGCGCTTGCGGAATTTATAGATGCGGAAAAGGAGATAGACGCTAGGAAGGGTTAGGACTGAGGTAGAGAGGGGTTGGGGGAAGTTCGGGGATAATCGCCCGTTGAAAGCCATGTCGATCCTTCAACACCCAGTCGTGGCCAATTAGAATCGTCGTGTATCATGAATTTCCTTCTTACACGGCGCGTCTCCTTGGCTAGAGGAAAAAAAGAGGGAGTCGACAGAGTATTTCGGCGCGAGGATTAGAGTGGGAAGAAGAAGAGCGAGAAGGATAGTGCGGAACGGGACCAAGATTCAGATGGTCAAGCAAGAGAAAAGGCGCGCGAGGCGAAGGAAAGGTGAAAAATGGTTACAGAGAAAGAGGGAGCATGAGCCTGATGAAGAGAGTGTCAAAGGTAGCGAGGGAAGCGGGGAGGGGAGGTTCGCATGCACGACGCCGACGCACAGGCAAAAGGGGCACCGAAACAGTTATAGCTAATTCAAAATTGACAAGTATCATATCCGCGCGTAGAGCGAGCAGGGGAAAAAAGTCCTATACCTATTCAGATTCCTACGAAAATTCCTGGAGTTTTCCAAGACAAAGTCGAGAACATTCATGCACCAGAAAGGACACGTCAGGTTCCGCTCATTCCGAAATTCCTAACTGTCGACCCAAATTCCTAGCGCGCCTTCCTAACTGTCGACCCAAATTCCTAGCGCGCTCGCTAAGGCGCGCGTAATTCCCATGCATTTCTCGAATTGCAAAAGATGAAATTCCCAAAAACCGATAAAAAATGACGAAGGTCCTGAGAAGGACGGGCCTCCCTGATTACGAACAATGTACATTAATTCATGGACATATGAAAAAGGAGGCCCTGTCGGCCTGTTTGCAAGACACCAAAATTCCAAAAAGAGAAAAGGGGGGGGGGGAAGGGATTGGAAGATGGAACAGGTCCGGAAACTGGCGCGTCACACCTGCTACAGCAGGTTGGCGATACCGGCCAGGGGTCAGCCGGTAGCATCAGGACCGAGCTTCTTCGATGGGCCAGTCACTGTGCCTCCCCTCCGGTCCCCTCCCCCTATGAACATCAGCAGTCTCTGCTCAATGCCACTCGAGCTTCTTCGATGGGCCAGTCACTGTGCCTCCCCTCCGGTCCCCTCCCCCTATGAACATCAGCAGTCTCTGCTCAATGCCACTCGGGGGGACCAATGGCATATCTCGAGGTGGCGGGCACCAAGCTTGCCCAGGAAGGTGCATGAGGCCAATGGGGATTGAACCCAAGACCTCCTGAATGCCACTTGCGTGCCTTACCAACTGATTTAGGCCCCTGGATTGACTAAGAATTAAAGTACTGGAAATTCGCAGAAAAATTCAAGCAAATATCATGACTCAGAAGAGCTATGGAAACCAACTCAAGCCTTGTATCCATGGGAGCCTTCATCCCGAAACCAGACTGCCTTGGTGACATTCAGCAGCCCAGCACGAAACCTTCCTCAACCTCCCATATCCTCAATACCCAGTCTCTACCAGACCTCACACGCCCAACTGCTGGGTTACAGAGTGGCGGGACCCAAGCCCAACCAATTCAATTAGCTGTCAACTCTGGACAGGATGCCCTTTCAGGCCATTGCTAATGCCATTATAGTATTATGTTATGGTGAACCCGGTAGCAGCCACATCCGTGCTCAAGCCTCCAACGAGGGAACATGCATGAGCTGCACCCACCAGGAGGTGCGACACCTGCTACAGCAGGTGGGTGATACCGGCCAGGGGTCAGCCGGAGCATCAGGACCGAGCTTCTTCAATGGGCCAGTCTCTGTGCCTCCCCTCCGGTCCCCTCCCCCTATGAACATCAGCAGTCGCTGCTAAGTGCCACTCAGGGGGACCAACAGATTATATCTCGAGGTGGCGGGAGCCAAGCTTGCCCAGGAAGGTGCATGAGGCCAATGGGAATTGAACCCAAGACCTCCTGAATGCCACTTGCGTGCCTTACCAACTGAGCTCGGCCGCTGGATTGTTCCACAATGATCATATCTTGAGGCCTTTGGTATAGGAGGGAATAATTTTGATGTTCACGTGAGAAACGAAGGGCCTCTCTCCACTACACAAAACGTTACGTGCATGTGGACGCTTTCCATGGCCGGGCACATTACAAAATCTTGGATTCGTCCCAACTCATCTGGTCCAGAAAGAGTCCAAATGCATGTAGAGAGCTGTGCAGTGGAGAGAGGCCTGAACACAATGTATGAAAGGGGACCCTTCACGGTTGTGAATTGAATGAACCAATTGGCCCTTGTCCTCAAGGCGAGCAGTGAGGACTAGGACGCGGACCGGGGGCTAGGTCCCACTTGCGCGAATTAAGAGATACTGACCGTAGATAGCGGAAAAAACGATCAACGGCCGAAATGTCTTAATCGGCGCAAGTGGGAGCTTGCCCTGGGACCCAATAAAATCTTCGACCGACAGGCGGCGGGCTCGGAGAACGGTGCGTCCCAGTCAGGCCCAAGCGGCTTTTGTTTTGTTTTTTTTTTGGTTTTTGAAGCCAAGCGGCTTTCGCGTCTTGTTATCCTTGTTAGGGCCTCGCCACACCACTCTCGAAATGCGAAAAAGACAAAACTTTGGCGGGGGCATCTGGCCATGTTCTAACGGGAAATTCATTTTCATTTTGCTCATTTCGAGAGTGATGTGGCGACGCCCTTACCTCGAGAGTGCCGAGCATTTCGCCGGCCGAGCGGGTTTCGCCTCTCCCGCCGCTCGCGTACTACACTGCGCGCTCCGCGCGCGGCCGTCGTCGGTGCCTTCGCTGCAGAATACCCATCCGTGCTGCTACCCACTCTTCAGCCACACGCATTTTCGTTCATTCATATAGTCCCCAACCTCTGCCCACCGGTAGTCATCCATCTACGATCTACCATCTACCCATCGAAGCAGAGCCAGGCAAGTAATCAATCGATCAATCATCAGTGGGAGGGCGACGTGCGTAATTGCGCGGGTTGAAAATGACGGAGGCTAGCCTGCGCGGTTCCAAGGGCATAGCAAGCGTGAAGGACTTGCCGGTGTTGCAAGATGGTCCCCCACCAGGCGGATTTCCGGCGATTCGATATGCGCGGAAGATCCCTAATACAGGCCCCTCTGGAGTTGTTGTCTTTTCAATTGCGGCAGCCGTTATTTCATATGGGATGTACCAGGTTGGCCAAGGGAATCTGCATAGAAGGTCAGCAGCTTCCTTCATCATACCCATCATCGGGCCTCGCTCCACTACTCAGCAAATGTGCAACATGAGAACGAATCTTTCTGCCAGACCATGGAGAGACCGCCATATTTTTGTCTTTTGTGCATTTGGTGAGGAGTGGAGCGAGGTCCATCGTTCACTCGCCTCGCTCAACGGTAGATCTCATTCTCTGCTCGTTCCCTCCCGTATCTTTCTCTCGTGCGGCGCATGACATTGCCGACGTGGCAGATGGCCCTTCTCTCTGGGCTCCGCGTGATGGGAGGAGAGAAGTGCACGTGCGTCCGTGACTCTTTTTTTCTTAGTATTACTTCTTTTTTGTGTCTTTTGTCACGTTCGCTATACACTACACCACAAAAAAACGCATGACTGTGCCAGACTGTCTCTCGGACTTTCACCTACTCATCAGGTGTGTGTGTGTGTGTGTGTGTGTGTGTGTGTGTGTGTGTGTGTGTGTGCGTGTGCGCGCGCGTGTGTGTGCGCGTGTGCGTGTGCGTGTGTGTGTGTGTGCGCGCGCGCGCGTGTGTGTGTGTGCGCGCGTGGGTGTGTGCGTGTGTGACTGTGCCAGACTGTTTTGTCCGACTTTCACCGACTCATCCCGAGTGTGTGTATGTGTGTGTGACACACACACACA